TGACAACGGATGTTATTGAAAAATTGTAAACAGTTTTGGTGTCAATTTGGTACCAGGCGTGTATATTGCGTAGATTGTAGTTCGCAAGGGATTGACATCGAATCGGGAACAGTGGTTTAAAATCAGAGATAAACCCATGAATCATATAATAGACATTTAAATTAAAAATAAATATGAAATTTTTCATTATTTTTCCATAATATAACGGTGAATATTATTAAAAAAATGATAATACTTTGATGCGAGTAACCTTGAATTCTCGGAATTTCGACAACACCTTGCCTTTCAATATAAATGATCTTTTAATACGTAATCCACCATCAATAATTCTTAGCCGAAAATCTAAACAATAACCGATATAACTGAATTGAAAACTAAAATTAAATGTTTACTGTTATATGTATGTAGTAGCAAGGAAAATGATGGCAGGTCTTTCTGAAAAAATACACAATTACAAGGAAATGCAGTCAGTCAAAGCCAAAGAAATAATAAAAAATAACCACCCATTTTCTTTGTTTTTTTGGAATTTTTTTTAAAGGACACATAAATTTATGTCACTTTATTCTAAACTATATAAAAAGATTTCTATTTTCTATGTGTGTTATAATTAAATGCCTCACTATTCTTATGAATAGAACCTGCAAAAATCAAATGCAAGTTGTATAAAACAAATTCTAGAAAAAAACGTCCTTTTGTGTCAAACAAACAAAACAAATAACAGGGAAATCTTTTGATTTCCAACTAATGAAGTAAACCAAACAATACAATGTCAGCCAAGCAAGCAAGCAAACCAACCAACCATCCATCCAGTTAGCCAGTGAGTGAGAGTAATGAGTAAGAAGAACTTGTAGATGTAACAGCCAGGTGTATATCTAGATACCGCAAGTTATAAAAACAACAAGACAATAAGTCTACATTTTGCCATATCAAAAGGTATATTATATTATTCAACTATCCATCCATCCATCCATCTATCTATACATACTTAGATGTGTGTAAGAATTTTTCATATCCAGAGTAAGTGTTTGGCGCACTATAATAATGCGTGCAGCGTGGGAACTGCATCTTGCGCAAAATAATGTTACAGGTTTCTTTCTTTCTATCTTTCATTACTTTCTTGTCTTTCAAATTTTCCACAAAAATTTACACAAAAAATGTATAGAAATTTTGTGAAACAAAAGGGCTACTGCTGCAAAATAAAACCAGCACCACACACTGTGTCAGTTTATAGATTTCATTAAATTTGAAACATCTAAAGAAAATCTTGGCTGCTTTGTATTGATTTAAAATTTTAATAATAGAAAGAAAATCATAAAATCAAAAGACAAAAAGTCTATAATGAATACAAAAAAATCAAGCAACACGCACATTTTTTATTTTAATAAATTTTGAAGAATTTCCAAAAAATTGCTTATAAATAAAATTTTTACTTATGCATTTTCTTTTAGCAAAAAACTGAATCACTCACTCACATATAAATCTTAGTTTTGTTGAGTTAATAAATGGGAAAATTTTTCTACTTTGGTTGTTTAACAAATATGCAGGCAGTCAGTTTTCACTTTATTCATTCGTATGCATAAATAAATTTATTTTACTCACTTATTAATATTATTAACTGACTAACTACTACGTACATACATACATACTTACTTGCATATAAAATGTTAATATGTATAAGTACAATACGCAGACGTACTATATTTTATAAAGTTTCTTAATAATAATTTATTTCAATTTTATTTCTATCTGTGGAATTCAAGAGTTTTAAACTCCAAGTGTTAATGTGCATTTTTTTGGGTCTTTTCAGAAATTTTGCGTGTGCGGTTGAGTGTGTATTTTGCTGTTGTCTGTTGCAATAATTGCGTGCCTTAAACCCATTTAGTTGCAATTACAAAATACAATAACAACATTTTAATGCAGTTTCAGTCTAATGCATTTTATGTTAAACTGTTATTTTTTTTTTTCTATCTTTCTTTAACTTTTTTTACGTTTCCACTGCATAAACAAATTATGTTTATAATATTTGTATTATTCTCTTTGGAAAACAAAAACATTAACAAAAATAAACAAAAACTAAAATGTTATCTTTAGTTTCTCCACCACCATCACCATCATCCTGTTATCATCTGCAAATAAAATTATTTTTATTATTTAGAGGGAATTGTTTTTTCATACTTTTTATGCATTTTTGTTGTGCGTAATGACATGCAAATGAAAATAATAATAAAGTTGAATCAAATCTTTTTATATGATTGTTAACAATTTATATTTAAAATATTTTAGAAATTAATTGGCTGCCACGCCTGAGTATATTATATATGTTATCGAATCAAATTGGGTTTAAAGGTTTTTCCAAATCATTATTAAAAAAATTTAAACTATATCAGTGGTCGACACCTAGAAAATGTCTTATACTAAAAATAGATTACTTTCGGTCCCTGGTGATGATTACTAACCTAGTATGGATTTTTTAAAGATTAAATAGTGAAAATCACACTTTTAGTGAAAGATTGATTATTTAGTGAAATATTGGATTTAGAATGTTCAGATTTTGGGGAAAGATCGGATTTTTAGTGAAAGATCGAATTTCTAGAGACAGATCGAATTTTTAGTAAAAGATCCGATTTTTTAAAAGATGAAATTTCTAGAGAAATGTCGAATTTTTAGTGAATGATGGATTTTCATTGAAAGATCGTAATTTTAGTAAAATATTAGATTTTTTAGCCAAAGATCGGATTTTTAATGAAATATCAGATTTTTAGTGATATATCAGATGTTTAGTCAAAATCTAAAATTTAGTAAAAAAATACATTTTTGTAAAAGATCCGAATTTTAAAGTAAGTTCTGATTTTTAGTGAAAGATCAGATATTTAGTCAAAATTGAATTTTTATTGAAGGAATGAATAGTGAAAAATCCGATTTTAGGTAAAAGATCAGACTGTTAGTGAAAGATCAGACCTCTAGTGAAAGATTGGATTTATAAAGAAAAATTTATGTTTTTAAGAAAGATCGGATTTCTACTCAAAAATATAGAAATTTCATCGAAAGATCGAATTTAAATAATTGATATTTAGTGAAAGTTCGGATTTTTGGTTAAAATCGGATTTATAGTGAAAGATCAAAGTTTTAGCTGAAGATCAGATTTATAATGAAAATCGTCTTTTTAGTGAAAAATTGGAATTTTAGTTAAAAACCGGATTTTTAGTGAGAGATCACATCGAAATATTGTTAGTTGATCCACAAAAGTATTATAGGTATTTTAATAAAAAATCTGCTCTTTGTTTTAGAATCTTATATGGACCTATATATTAGATTCTAAAATAAGAAGCAGATATTTGGTCGGATTTTTAGTGAAAGATTAGAGTTTTTGCTGAAAATCTAATTTATAATGAAAATCGTTTTTTAGAGAAGTAACGAATTTTGAGTGAAAATTGTAATTTTAGTTAAACATCGGATTTTTAGTGAGAGATCATATCGAAATATTGGTCGTTGACCCATAAAAGTATATACATATATTATAGGTCCATATTAGATTCTGAAATAATTTAGCCATGACCGTTCGTCTTTCTTTTTTTCTTTAGGAACTGAGCGGTATTAAGTATTAAAGAAAAGAATTTAAATAAAAGTTATTAAGTAACTGATCGATTTTGATAAAATGCTACATTTTCCGTGACTTGAAAAGTTTATCTTTTGGCTACACACTTTTAACGGACAGGTTAAACTTTGTAAACTAGAATCGTTCCCTACTTTAAAGAAATCAATCACAGGACTAGTTCATTGCTAGCTGTATGTATTTCATTTAAGGATTTCATATAAAAATATCTAACGCCATTTTCTATTAAAATGTATCTATCATATTTCCCCTTTTTTATAATATTCAAATCATAACTAAAAAAGGGTTGAAATTTACATACATGAGAAATACTTAAATAAAAAACGAAACTCACACTCCATTACCAAAACAAAAAATTTACATAATGTATAAAAATTTCTTAGAAATCAAAGCAAACAAATCACAGTTTTATCTGACGAAAAAACAACCCTTCTGTTTAACAATATACAAACAACTGCGTTCCCCTTTTTTTACCAAACAATAAAAAAACAGCAACCCTTTCGTGCCTTAAAAAACAGGAAGTGTTATACAATATTTAAATAAGTAAGTCTTTTTAGAAGAGGGTTGATTTAAATATTCAAACTTCATTTTAATATTTTATTTCATAGGGTGGTTGCCAGTATATGTAAGTATGTATGTATATTCTACTTAAAAATTACAAACTCAACTGTGATTGGAGCTTTTGTTAAACATAAAAATTTCAAAAATTTTTTATGCTAACCATTTTTATTCACTAGGAATTTTTTCAAATATTATAATACATAGGAAGTATTGTTGCTAAAAAGTTAAATTTTTATGAGTTTGCGTAAAAAACGCATATTCCCTGTGGCTTCTTATTCAAACATTAGTTTATTTAAAAAAGAAGTAAATATGTTTCCATATTGATAAGCATATCAGGGTTTTAGCATGACATGCCTTCGGGGTCATGGTATAAATCATAAGAAACAAAAGCAACTCATAAAAAGTATGAAAGAACAAAAAAATTCCTATGGTGTTTGTGTTACCAACTCAATATGCTTCAAGTTAAAAAATAAGGAAAATTTCAAGTACTCTTATCGCCAACACCTTTTTTTAAACATTGATAGAGAAGAGGTTTAGGAACAAAAAATAATGGATATCATGCAGATTTTTTTCTTCATAATGCGAATATATCATGGTGTTTTTTGTTAATGAGTTTGCTTAGGGAAAAGGGTATTAAAATGTGAAATTGATGCTTAAAGAAGCAATCATTCGTAAGGAAATAATTTTCAGAATACATATTTGAAATTCTGATTTTGTGTTATTGTGTTATTTACTATTTGATTTACTATCATATAAAATTTGGAATTTTGATATAATTGTTCCACTTTTTAAATGCTTAATTTTGATTACAATTTTCTTCTTCCAGAAAACAACACGAAAATCAACCTTAGCACTTCCGCCACACTGCCCTCAGTCAATACGTTTGAATTTTTACCCGAATTATTTAAAAATCAAATAGAACAATGTGTCAACAAAAGAAAATCGTCACCCACTAATTGTGCACTTGCAACGAAAACTGATACAACAAACGTTGCAAGCACGCAAAATTCAACATTATTAGCAAATTTTGTTGAACAAGGAAATTTTGCAAAGAACTACATGGATGATGATAATGAGGAGGACAATAAAGCCAAAGATGATGTTGACACAAATTTACGCGATGTCAGCAAAAGAAGATACAATGCAGCCAACAATGTTGATGATGGTGGTGGATGTAGTGTTAGTGGCAACAGTAGTAAATCTAGTGGCAACAAACAAAAATCAGTAACGAATGTAAAAATTTCTTTGGAAAATTACAACTCAAATAGTGAAAATTTTATTGATGATGCTGATGAGCAGCCCAACAATGATTGCTTAACTATGCAAGCAAATGAAGCAAGAGGATCAAAGTTTAATTTTCCTCCACCCATGAAAACATCAAACACAGGAACAACAACAATGACAACAAAGGAACAAGGTATGTCCTCGAATTTGAAAAATGTTGAAGAACTTTTAGCAAATAATATCAAACAACAAAAACAACAAACTATGGCTGTTGTTGGTTCTTTAAAAGTACGTGATGAATTTTTTGAATTAAAAAACCAAAGTAACACAAATTTAAGTCCTAATGCTGCCATTGCTGCTTATGACATACAAATACGTGGAGACCCTCAACAACAACAACAACAACATCATCATCATGATGATGAAGGTGAGCATCCTCCTGCTATTAAAAATAGCAAATGTCCCCGTAGTCGCAGTTCAAGTAATAGTTCAAACGCATCCACCAATTCAAACAATTCAATTGTTCATAATGTGGGTGGCGATGGCGGCGGCGTTGTCAAGAAGACAAAATTCTCCTCATCATCAGATAATGAAAAGTATTTGGAAAATGAAAAACTTTGTAAAATTAAGG